CATGCATATTTCAGGTTCAGGCCTACCATCTGAATTCAGAGTTATCGTCGTTATCCTCTCCCCGGTGGTTCCTGTCCTAATCTGACAATAAAAAGCTCCGATCCGATACCGGCAATCACTAAATCCAGTCCCGGTGCAGGAGCAAAAACCACTTCGGCAATTCATGAATTGCTGGACAATCGATGACCCCTGACCACTGCCGGGGCTGGGTATGCATGAACATGAGGTTGGCAAGCCATCGCCGGTGGCAGTAACAACAGTTCTCCCGAAGGAAACAGCATCATTTAACAGAGTAGAGTTTCCTTTGTAGCCACTGATGAACGTTCTTTCAGCAGTAAGAGAAAGGATGGGGTTGTCATTGAAGCAGGTAAAGTCGACCAGTTCACCTGTACAATGAGTCCAAGAAACATACAACAGGTATAAAAAGTTAGGTTAGCAACTGAGATGTTAGCTGAAGATACATGCACATGTACATGTAGTATGTAAGTACTCCTAGAATCTCACACTCACAATGACCATGCAAAATACTGTCCAATTTGCAACTGTGATATCTCAAAGTACGATTTATGAATAAGATGAATACATGCATTGAAAATGACATCATTTTTCTGTTACCTCCTCATTATTAAAAGCAGAATTATAGTCGAGTACTAAACGTTCCCGGTACTACATGTACATGTAAGTTTACCCCTGGAAGGTTTGTTATAGACGGGTGTAATTGGGGTACATTTTAGGGAGTCTCATTTCTGGAAAGGGTCACTCAATGAGTTCTGCCACAGTTAAGACACTGACCAAGGCAGAGTGTAACCAGATGTTTGCCTCCTATGCCAATGGCTGTCAACAAAGCTGCAATGCCTTGAGAGTAAACACTTGACCAGAAAAATAATGGAAACTTTCAGACAGTCAAAATCGTGTTAGAACTTAGCTTTCTGTTAAGATCTGCATTTTCAGAAAAATACTTGCCTGGTGTTTTGAGAGTACATTGTTATACATTTCAAGTATAAGTACACTTTCATGCATACACCTTACATGTATGTATGTACGTAGCTGCTAAGTCCTAGCTTAGAGCTCGCTCTCGTGTAGCTGGGCTTGCTCATGTTATTTCAACTGCACTGGCCTGATGTTTTTGAAAAACGTACATGTACAAGTATTCTCATTATAATGTTGGTAAAGGCACAGTCCTTTATTACGTACTTGTACACTAATACAGTGAATAGAATCGCCAAGTTTATAGATCACTTTCAACGCAGAGTTATTCTTCCATCAACTCCTAAAGCAGTTTGCACTGTATTTCTTTATCACACATACACCAGCTTCCATTTCCCCCATCCCCCCAAAAAAACCCAAAATAATGAGCGAAAGATTATCCTATACAGATATTCCAACTCTTTTAAAAAATGGTGAGTAAGAAGTTTCTATGAGAAATATTTCGATTTAAAACTCCTGGGGCGAGACTGGCTAGATTTCCAACTCAGACAAACTAATCTTCCCTTCCACAGTGTACCCTCTGTTCAAGGATAGAGGAAACGACATGGTCAATACCAACCCAGAATGGATATGTCTCACGATCCACAGATCCTTGTTCTGTTGCTACCACTCCACAGCCATTATGCTCAACCACACAGGAAGGAAACGAGGCCATGGATCACCTTACAGTACAGTCAAACCACCAAGGGGAAATTTAGCTAACGTTTGTCAGAGGGAAAAACACTGCGGATACACTGGAGATTTGAACAGTGAGGTATTGGTACCCTGTATATAAACTAGAAATTGCCAGGGCTGTCACATACATATATGTGCAGCACAGACATGTACCATAATGTATGCATTCCCAATTGTTTTTTAGAAATTCCTGCGATGATAGACTAAACTTCAAAGAGTTTCAGACTATGCAAGTTTCAAGCTTTTCCAATAAAGCAACATATTTTCATTATATACATCTAACAAGCCAAAATTTCTTTTAAGCAAATGCCATCAGGAAAAAGCTTAAGCAAAGTCTGAGAATCAAATGGAAGAAGAGTCATCCAGGTGTCGTAGAAGGTACCGAGTCACATCGGAATGACTATTCAATGTTACCCAAACGGGGGCCACCACAGGTTACCTGCACTTTCTGATGAATTTTGAAGAGGCTCACAAAATGCTGCCAACTTTAAAAAAAGGAAAATAATTCCCTGACAAGGATATTGGTCATTGTGAGTGGAAAGATAAACATGATAATTTCCTGATACTTATGCCTTAATTTCAATAAAGCAGTCAGTTCCGTACAGATAGACATAAATGATATTGACAGATAAACAGCAGTAGCAAAATCAAATGTTTTTTACACATTGGTCAAAACAAGCTTCAGCTACAGAGTTTATCATGTTTATGGGTTTGACTTCTTGGCTGTACAAAGTTCTTTGAATGGTAACATATTTCCCTCATTCTTTTCTGTTTTAATTAATTGGAAACTCTGCATGCAAAGGGTAACCATTTATTTTTAATCGTGTGTGGCAAATCATTATCCAAAACAGAGGGTTAACTTCATAAGTTTGTGACTGAAGAAGCAGGCAAGTCATTCTGTTTGGGGCCTTACAGCATGAATGCCAGAATTGCCGCATCTAATTTTTTTCATCAAGCAAAAACTCAGTCACTGAGAGCTGAGTGTTGGAGGTGTATCTTGCCTCTTAAGCATTCCACAAATGAACAGTTTTCTTGTGCACATATAATGCGCAGAGATGTATATCTGAACATATATACAACATGTTTGAACAGAAAATAGGCTTCATGTTTGGATTTACTGTTAAAACATTTGACCCAAAGACTAAAGAAGCCAACTCTTGGTGCGCCACAGAAAGTGCCCAAGGTTCTTTAAATTTACGACTAATGATGCATTAACAACTCGGATTCCTCATAGAATACCAAAGTGTGACGTCACTGTGAACCAGAAAGTGCAGTACAAACGAATGGAGGACGCGCGCGTGTTGGTTCACGTGCTGGTTCTCGCGCTAATGCCTTTTACACACCAATCGTGCGCGTGACGTACTCACTTCGGTACTCTATACCACTGCTTACTACATACATGTACATATTAAGTGCAAATGTGACAATAAAAGTGCACCTTTGGCATAATTAGGGTCTGTTCAACTAGCTACCGTAACTATGAGCAGCACAATTTTAAGCTAATTTCCCCTGTCTGTCTGACACAGCCTACATACATGTATACATGTACATATCCCCAGGTCAGGGTTGCCCTATGTAAGCTAACACACCCGATAACGTGACTGCTGTTGTGACCGTCAAAATATTCTACAAAAGTGACATAACATTTTCCGGTGTTTTCAAGCTCTACATCCACAGGATTTGAAGGTCGGAACACTTGACCTAGAGCACATTAATTTATGAATGTGTCATCACACAATATCCGTGTCGTTGCTTATTTAGCAAAGAACCAGAGAAAATGAAAACAATAGTAAGGATCGTCTTTGGTACATCCTGTTTCAATTTTAAAGAGCAGAATCGAGGGTCTGAATTTTGACAGTATGTTTTCCCCTTGGCTTTTATTATCTTTTAGGATTAGCTTTGCCTGGGGCCAATTTGGTCATGCCATCTAGCGGACACCTGTCACGAGCAAAACTGGACCATTAGTAGTCAGAGGGATACAATGAGCATTTCTACACAGCACATACTGAGCACTCAGGGCGGGAGCCGCCCCTAAAAGAAAGATAGCTTCTGTAGGACAAGAAGAAATTTGGGTAAAGTCAAGGAAAATTTGTTTCTGGAAATTCTTCTACATTTTGCGAAAAATCACACAGTAAAGCTGCATTCTTCACACAAGTAAGCCAAAAGAAAATAATAACGGAATCCTTCAAGCCCTTTCTTTAAACCAAGCAATAAAAAACACAAAATATAAGTACAGGTATGTACTTGACATGTGCAGGTACATGTACATGTACCTTTGCATTAGGACTGTCAGTTAATCTCTTGCATGTTAATGTCATTATTCCATATTTCTTTGGCAATGCCTAGCAGAGTTTCACAATTCAAAAGGGAATAAAAGTACATGTAGCTGGTATTGTAAGTTTGCTTTGTCAAATGAACAGGAAAAATATGAATTACTGGAGAAAACGGACAGCAGTGACTGTACACTGAAAATCCATTTTACTCTCACAGGTAGCCTGTTTTAACCAAAATCCCCTAAAAACACTGGTTCCCTTGTTTTTCTTCACCTTTATGTACAAAAGATGTAACTTGCAAAACATGGTTATGGGTACCTTGGTACCTATTCCAATTTCCAGCCAGTATTTGGAGTCTACAAACAAGGTTTATTATATGTGCCCACCAATGTCTCCCCTTTATTATATGTGCCCACCAATGTCTCCCCTTTATTATATGTGCCCACCAATGTCTCCCCTTTATTATATGTGCCCACCAATGTCTCCCCTTTATTATATGTGCCCACCAATGTCTCCCCTTTATTATATGTGCCCACCAATGTCTCCCCATTCTTTTAGACAGCGCTTCTTATTTAAAAATCACGTGTAATTGACATATACTTCAGTTAGACACGTACATTTATGCCATAAAACTACAGGGGTGTTGGTCCTACCACACTTAAATATTTTACACTTTCACAGTTTTAGATCAAAATTGATGTTGAAAATATCAGATTTGAAGTTTTCATAACACTGTGATTGAAGCTTTATCCAAACTCATGCACCGGAGTTCAAAATTTGAGGTACATGTACTGGACAATATAATGCACATGTAGGCCTACATGTGGCCGCTTCGATAAATACTCTCAACACTTAACTTCCTGCATTTTCAAATTTGTACTTTGCTGACTCAATTCATATAGAGTACCGAAGTGAATACGTCACGTGCACAATTTGTGTGTAAAAGGCATTAGCGCCAGAACCAGCGCGTGAACCAACATGCTCGCACACTCCATTCGTTTGCACTGCGCTTTCTGGTTCAAACTGACATCACATTTTGGTACTTTATACCACTCATTTAATGTGCCTCAAACCAGACGTTCAGTAAAATGAAATCAAAATTAATTTAAGTACCATTGTATGCAGAAGCTTGTATGCACTTTCATTCCCAATTCGTTTCATTGAGTGATCATCTACCGTGCTGGTACTAGTTTTTTGTCACTTGTCAATATCAAAGCTTTAAAAACAATGACAACTTTACCAATCAAAATACTCTTATATGTACCTGTTGAATACTTGAATTCTTATAAATTCCAATGTCATTATTTCTAAGTCTAAGGCAAGGATCAAAGTACAAAACATGGTCATGATGGTTAATCCTTTGAAAACCAGCAAATGTATTACTGGACAAAACTTGTGCCCCCTTTGAAAATGAGAATAGAGAGAAACTCAGAAAATCACAGCAATTGTCTTTTAGAACACAATCTTTCTTCTTCACTTTCTTTATTTTGGGGAAAAGTAAGAGCTAGACATAATCGCACGAATTCATCGTAACCACCTAAGCCACGTTCGTGTACATGTGCATACATGTACATTTGGACAATGTTGATCCATACACACGTTGATGAATTAAGACGGTCGCTCAAACCACCGACAACAACTTGATTTATTTTTTCCTGGCCCCTGCCAAAACAATCTGTCATCGCTACACCTATATAAACTTACCAAGTGAGAAATGTGAAACCGAAAGTAGTAAAAAAACTTTCCAGACCAGCGTTTTTCCTCCAAGGATCAACGCCATGTTGGACCTCCACATGTTTGTATTCCAGCGTATAACTTGGTCCTAGACTGCCCTTATCTCTGGTACACACAAGTCAACGAGACCAGGAAATACCTTTGGACTCATCAATTATTTTTGAAGGGGTGGACAGTATAAAATGATTTTCACATGGAAAAGTATAAAAACCTTTTGTGAATCAATGATTGTGGTAAGTATAGAGATCTGATTATTGTAATCACTTTGTTTTGTTTTAGAAAGACTTCTGTATCAAATTTACAGACATTATGACAGCAGTTTTTTATGTTTGATATTCACTTCCTGTGCTCCTCCCTCCGCTAACTTTCAATAAACGATCCCATGCGTCATCAAGAAACATCGAAGGCCCTTTTGTGGCCGTAACAAAACATTCAATGGTAGGTAGAACCGTTTAGCAAGATGACTGCGTCACCTGTACCCTGAATGAAGTTGAATTAATCTGAAAGTACTTTCAGTTCGATTGTTCTCATTATCAAATTGTTTCAGTGTGAGAATTCGAAATACGTTCTGTTCCATTTTATCTTCTGCTCTTTTGTATGACCCTATTTTCAGAAAATTAATAAGTAGATAATGGCACAACAGCCGTAAAAAAATAATAATGTCAAACAGTTGGACAGTAGATGAGTTTTGTGAAGAGCTAAATTTTAAACAGGAAGGGAAGAAATGCGGTTTCCTGTACGTACCTTTCAGGTTACTTGAACCTGAAAATAAAAGGTCACTTGGCGAGTTTCCGGAAATCTCGTGCAGTCCGTGCGTGGGCATTTACACGGGGCAGAATAATTTCTAACTGAAAACATTCCAAAGAAAACTCATGTCGGAATTTTATTTCCGTGTTCTACAAGTAAATGTGGAATGTGGCAAAGTTACTAGGGTGATATTATGGGTTGAACAATCATCGACCTTCCACTTCGGCTTTTGTGACTGTTCCTAGGGCTCCTTGATCACGCTCTTTTCCTTTTTCTTTCTCTTTTTTCGTTTACATCAAGCACTATTTGAGAACGAGAATGTAAAGCGTTACAAAGAGTTACCTATCTATAGTCCATGGGTTAAAGATTCAGTTTGGCTGGCCTGAGCATAATACGTTCTTTTCAGCAAAGTTAAGTTACACTCGAGAATTTGTCGTAAATGCTGATTTCTTCAGGTTAACTATAGTGTATACCGCTGAACTTATTTTGGTCTCTTGTTGAAATCTCAGGAAAGACAGTCCAAATCTAATTTCCTAACTTTTCATGATACATACGAGTACAGCGAGTTGCATTGGTGGTTGTCATGTATTTCCGTAGTGAGAGATCAGGTTTGGGTGCGACATTTGTTTTTCAGGTTAGGCAGCTTTCCGGTTACGATAAGTTGATGTGAAAGTCAACATTTTACAAAGAACTCGTAAAAGGAATTTTAAAGAAGTAAATGAAATCAATTCCAAACTGTTACAACTTTGCATGTTATTTTGCTGTAAGGGTTCCAAAAGCACGCCATTCGGCACCCTTTAAGCCAAACCAGCAGTACAAAAAAAGTGATTCAATTTGATTCACCCTTTTCATAAATGCTGGGTATTCCCCTTTTCCACTCTGGATCCACCACTGAAAACAAGGCTCCTACAGAAAGCCGCCGCACTCACCTGTAGATACCAGGGTTTCTTCCTCAATCCTCAAGTCGGCCAGTTGTAAGCAACTGCCTGATAGCTCCACACTGACATACCGAGCCATGACGCTGGGATTCGCCCCGAAATGAATCGTCTGTCCGCCAGGAGAAGCTTGATTTCTTCTGACCGAAGATCCAATTTGTTGGTTCCGTGAGTGATCTAAATTCAAACCAGCTCGCACTATGGCTCCGGTTAATCGAGAACCTGCAATGGCAGAACACAACTGACAGTTAACTTATCACAAAAATAAAATGAAGCATGCAACAGCTTAATACACTACCATTAAATATACATTTTCAGAAATCCAAAAGCATGTATATTTTTCAAAGTTCGTTTTCCGAGGTCTATTGTTAGCAGAACATTTGTTTTTATGAGGTATAAATTTTCAAGTTTGACTGTACGAAATAGCTACAGTGGGACAACTTATAAATTAAGCTATGCCCCAAGAGGAACATGTCCGTTTTACTAAATGACGTGACGACCAAATCATGGCTTCATTGGTGTCAAATCACAGTACTTTCACCAGTATAAGATCAACTATATGCTACAGGCTTCGAGGGGTCAGAAACTCTTTCGCCGATCGTCTTCCTTGTAAAAACCTTGAGAAATTTTAAGCTCGTAAAAAAAACCTCGTAGACCCCCCCCAAAAAAACTTGGGAAATTAAATCGCCATTTTCCGTAGATTATAAATAAGTGTAACTTTTTGGGATCGACGATCATGCCCCAAAACACTAAGCAACCTGCCAAAATTTTCTTTTTTAATTCCTGTAATTCGGTGACTCAGCCGGTATAGTCAAAGTCGAATCCTTATTCGGCCCGAAAAGGCTTAAAGAATTCCTGTCGAATGCCAGCTACCTTACCATGTTGGTCGTGTCTGTTGATAATGGTGATCCTTTCCACGCGGTAGGCATTTTCAAGATCTACTCTCCACCACTGGTATCCGCCACACTCTGAAATTGTATGATTGGTATGATAATAACATTGGGTCTTTCGTTCGCTTATTCAGTATCGGAATCGACATTCAAAAGCACTTCGCGTTTTCATGATGCGCTTAAAGGTTTTTTGAAAAAGTAAATGTACTCACCTGTGTGTGATATTGAATAAATGTCATCATCCACGGCTTTGGTAGGGTATCCATTGGAATAATTACTGCTCTGGCTGACGTATTTGTCCCGCAGGTTGATTAGAGCTAAGCCTGGAGTTGAAACAGAAGGGTTTTGTAGTGAGTAATTTTGGGTTTCTGTCTGTTTTATTTTGAGTTTAGCTCAGTTTAACCACCACCCTGGTACTCATCAGTGTAAATTCGTCAATTATCGTTTCACGCAATTTTGGAAGGAGATCAATTTAAGACATCGAATTAAAGCAGGAATAAATGACCTGTTATCGGTCAACTAGAAATATAACTATTGCTCAAAATGAGCGAAAGATTCAATGTTGACGGCCTACCAAAGCAAACTAAAATTAGAGGTGGCAAAACCAGGAAATGATAGAGCTTTCAACGTGGACTTATTGGTCTGGAACTAATGATAAAGTCTTAAGGGTTGTCAAGGAGAGTCAACACTTGCAAGCTTGAAGTTGATACAGGTATTCTTTAGTTTATAGACCACTGGAAATAATGCCCTTTTCCTTCTCTTCGTACTCTCCTCGGTTTTCTCAATTATCTTCGCGTCACATTAACAAAAGGTTACGAGCGCAAGGGGCTGTATACAGATTCAAATATGCGCCCCACAGTGTTTATACATTAAATGCGTCTGGAATACTTTACAAACTTATGTTACCAGACAAAACAAATGCATGGCAAGTGCAAACAAACTATAGAAAATTTTGAAGAACAAGTTAGTTCAGCCTTTATTAAAGTTGCTGTATGTGGATATGGCAAGCGCAACCGTTATAAACGGCTGGTTTGCCGGTACGCACCACTTGCTTCTTTCTCACGCTCGGCCATGTTATGGAAAAGATACCAATTTACCCACCTTTGTTTGGAAAACTCAGAAAAGCTAAAAGGAGCAACGACACACCAAAACGGCAACGACAGCCTCGAGAGTTTTCCATGACGGCTTACCAAGTTGCACCGCAATTTTAGAAGTGACCGTGTGACTCTTCCGAGTGGCGCATGTATGTTGGATGCACACGGCTTGGATTGACTGGAGATTCTGCCTCATCAGTGGAGCTAGATGTACAATACTGACCGCTTCTAGGGAAACGAATTCCAGATAGGTCACCACAACAGGAAGTAGCATGTGTACTTTGGGCGCGTTACCGATGGCCGTGACAAACATCAAACGTATGGATTAAACTAATAACCAAGAAGTGTTTAACGGAGGTACGTTTCCGGATTCATCAACACGCATTTCCCATCACAATCACTTGCACAACCACCTTAAGTTTACTACTGCCAAATCTAAAAGCCAAAGATTTTATCCCACGGACCGTTTTCGTCAGTCGCTAATTGGGTGTACATTCCATTGTGCCAAAATTTACAGTAATTAGAACAATTGTTTGAAAAGCCCATTGCGCGCATTCTAATTCAAGTTCTCCCACCTCTCTATTCTTCTAGATGATTTCCGTAAGCCACAAGGCACAGCCCTGGGCACTGTCAAATATCACAGCGCCCTCACTTCACAGATCACGGATTAACATTGACATAGCTTACACCAAAAGACCCCAGAGACATCGCCTGCTCGGCGATCCGCAAAATTCACCTCTACTCTTTCATCACGTGCTCCTGTGCTCCTGCAGCTGGGGCAAGTTGTGTTATGGACCATAGATGTTGGTAAGACTTGACCAATGTATCGTGCCTAACGCGGGGAATCCCCACTCCAGAAATAGAAATGATGTGATCCTTCCTCGTGAGTCGTCCTCCTACCTCGTCCTGTGGCCACCACCCCGCCACTCCATACATTACCTACGGAAGGGCATTGTGATGGGAACGAGGGTGAGACATCGTAAGACAGCATTACAACACAACTGTCGAAGGTCGCGACTATTTCACAGATGTGCCACTCCAATCGCAGCGAAAATTAGAGTGCTTGGATTCCAATACCCTTCCTTTAGGTAGGTTTGAACGTGTATGACATTACCCCACCCCTTGCTGGAGTATTATTTCGTTAGATTGTCATTCGTATCATTCCGGAAGTCATAGGATGTAATCGGATGGGATGATGCACTCCCGTTTACTGCGTTGGTAACACGACACGCTTTCCGTTGATGATAATCAAACATCACATTTCCACGAGAATTATAATCATGGCGCACATTGGTCACAGGTGTCGATATAGTCTTTGGTTGAAATCCAGAGAGGTCAGCGAATATGTGCCATTTTCGCAGTCAGGGTTTTGGCTGAAGGAGCTTTTTAGCCTCGTTTATCCGTACGTGCCAGGCTTGCCCCACCCAATTGTGGATGACATCTTCTATGACTACAGATGACTATAGCACACTGTTTAAATGTTAAAATTTAGTTTAAAAAATCGTGTGAAATGGCTGAATTAATAAACTGCGTTCTCTTGTGATTTTTCTTTGGCCATAAAATAAACCCTTAATACCCTATTTGTTTATCCATACTTGGACATACTAGATGTAACCCCCGATACAATTCTTTTATAAACAAAAATCCAACGTTTCATATTGCCACCAGATGGTTTTTATTAAAGTAATTATTCTTTTTGTTCGGCCTGTATGCTGCTGCGGAGACGCAGAAGGGAAATCCCAGTCAAGCAGAGACCTTTGTTACTCTCAGTATTCAATCATTGATCATAAAACAGCGAATATCGCAAACTGAGCTTTGTCCCCTGCACATGAATATCAATAAATGCTGAAATCACACAAACACATGATGTATGAAGCAACAATGGCGATAGGGTACGTGCGAAACTATCAAATTGCAAGATCTTACTCTGCATTGGAGTCGTCCTTCGATGTCTTTTCTCTGTGTTTACATAAAATGAATGAGTTATTGGGTCGTTTATAGTCTTTTATATACATTCAAAGTACGGAGGCCGTGGGTAGGAATCTCCCGGGAATTACCACCTATCGATCGCTCTTTCTGATGGTAATATTTTGGTTGAAGTGGTGGTCAACGGTTGTGGCATCAAAGCTCTATTGCTGTAGCGTACATTTCAGCAATCAGAATTAGACGCTATTGCCATATGCTGGTGGGTCTATTGAGAAGTGGTTATTCGCGTTCAGTGTGCCTCATGGACTTGATGGACCGTACACACAGGGAAGGCAGCTTTATCTCGTTACCTGAATATTTACTGTAATCCGTTAAATAGGGATGAAGTCAGACTAATTTATGTTCCAAACCTCAGTTTTTCTTTAATGTGGCTTAAAGCATTTATGTATAATTTATCACCAATTTTGAATAATTAGAATCAAAGTTGACATGAATTTGCAAGAAGTTTCGTTTTATCGCTGTAATTTTACATTCAGGTTCCCCAAATGGATGGTTTTTTTATCTGACTTCCTTTTTTTTTAAGATGGCCGACACATGAATACAGGCTAATGTACGCCATTGTTTCAGTTTCACTTTCATACCCGTCATCTCTTTTTTTGCATGTTTTTTCTAAGTTCGATGTGAATTTTCCCTAGAAAGAGAAGGATGTTCTTGTCCCAGATGTCTAGTTTCGCAATATGATGAAAGCAAAACAGGCCGGAGTTTATCAGAATGATGCGTTGGATTTTCCAGGTTGATGAATAAGGGACCATTTAATTTCGTTGATATGTATGAAGTGGCAGCGTTGGTTGCCTTCCTGTGTGATGCAGGGGCAGGCCAGTCATCAGAGTTTGGAATTCATCGCGTAGCGCCGTTTTTCATGTAAATGTATGATATTGCCAGTTCGTTTTGTTGAATTAATTTAGTTTAAACTGCACGTCTAGTGTTTCTTTCGTACTGATCGCTGGCAGATTTAAGACTGTCACGTCTTGCTCAAATATATTGTTGAAGAAAAACAGACCGATTTCCTAACTGTACTCAGAGTGGAACTTGCCTGAAGAAATAAGAATTTCGACGCTTTCCTTGCAAGGCTGTCTTCATCGATAAAGCAAAGTATGCTAGATAAATACACTGTTCGAGACCTGTTGAGAAAACACCCTGTAAGGAATCTTGAGTCCATGTACATTGCCAGTGTTGCAAAACATTCAGTGAAGAAAGTTGATGGTGATATGGATCCGTCACTGGACCCAGCTAAGCTGTGCAGTGTGAGGCCTCTGAACTATCACACCCAGGGAATGTCGGTTCGAGACGCATTCGACTAAAATAATGAACATGTTTTCACTGAAAAGCTCACAGATAGCATTAAATACCCACTGATTATCATGTTGTAGAAGGGCACCTATAACCAAACACTAAAATATTCAGATCGTCACATTTTTAATATATCAAGACATATAGGGATTTTTGCAATATGTTGACAAAGTGGCGTCATTTATTCATTATTATATTTGGTATACTGTATATCAATCTTTTCAATTTACAGCACAGTGAAACCACTTCTAGTGTTGAAACTTGAGCGTCACGTTTGCAGTCAGCTAACATACAACAAGATCATGGTAGAAGGAAGTATTCGCTCGTACGATCCACTGGCGTACCATGTCAACAATGTGAAGGACATCCGACCAGACATAGTGAGGGCCCATCGTGAAAATGACACCGAAGAAATCAAGCGGCTGCTGGCGGAGGGGGAGCCGAGTGACTACGATGTCTTCATCTGCGTCAACGAGGGTTGGCACGCCTTCGTGCTGTGTGCTCCAGCTAACGAAGTGACCCCGGAAAATGACCCACTAAACGTCTTCCAGGACATGCCGATTCATGACCCGTTCGCCATCCCCAACCAACTCCTCGTCTGGGCGGCCGAGCTGCGCTTCGAGTCAGCCCAGCAGAGGATGTATAAGATTCGCTTCAAGCTGTCGATGTATGGAGAGATGAAATCCAAGATCAAGCGATGCTTCTATATCGGCAAGTACAAGCGCGTGCCAGTGAGCGGGTTACAGTTGGCTATTCTCAGGGCTTCCCCGAGACGCTACAAAGTCCTACTGGACGACTGTGTGGAGTTCGCTAAGACCTTCTGCTACGAGCTGCTCTCCTTCAGCGACAACGGGCGAGAGATCGAGAAGTTAGTCGAGGAACAGCTAAACAAAGCCTCTGGCTCGGGGTTCAGTGTGGAAGTCCTTTCGCGTAGGGTCCGAAGTTCAGGCCTGGTGGGCAACACGTTCTTCGGAGGGCTTGACGCGTCCGCCTTCCTCGGCGACGTACAGTGCCCAAGGGGTGTCGTTTGTGTTACACTAGTGATGTTTCTGACGGTATACCCAATAGTGGTAACCCTGCTGGTCCTTTACTTCAAAGGGTCGTAACTTTGACGGAAGGGATACATTTGTAAAGTTGATAGTAGGGACCATAGTGTCCATACTTAATGGCTATGAAATAGGACACTTTTAATTGATATAATGAGTTTCACATTCCTTTATTTCTCTAATTCCTAGCACAAAAACTGTGTATCCATGTCTCTTCAGTTCAGCATCTCAGAAATTGAATTTTTCTGGCCAAGGAAATTGGGTGTAAAAGCTTTCAAGCTTGTTCGGAAATCTGACCAAACTGCATTTTTTCAATGCCTTCAACGACCAGCTTTCATTCCATCTGGTTTGGTCGGCTTGTTTTTCAGTGTGTACCACGCCACACAAACACTCTTTTCTTGTCACATGAATTCAATGTCACTTTTATTTTACTATTCAGCACACAGGTGACCACCAGTAGATTGTTTAGGGGTGTGTACTAATTAAACTATACGATATAGTAAATTCACAAAGGACTTCTTTGTTGCTCCAAGCACTCTCAAGTTTCTTTTTACCAATCGATTCAGTACGATGTAATTAATAGAGATTGTTGCACAGTTGTATCAATTTCTTCAAAAAGTTATCAATAAGTCAGTAATTAAACAAGTAAACAGCGCATATAAAGTGTTATGGTGTAAAATTAATAACCTTGGTACTATAACATAGAACACCACCAAAACGCTTGCCTTTTAGTTATCGCTGAAATGAAATTGATTTTGGTTTTTAAGTTATTCAGAAAACACGTCACCATTGGTTGTAAATAGCGCATACAGTAGATGATGTTTTCTGAATGAAAAGACTTGCTATTGCAGAATATCATGCACATGCAGAAACAGCTGCAGTCGCTAAAAATGTATTCCACAAGAGCATTCATTCGTTTGAAAATTCTGCTTTTGGAAAGGATTGCTCAACGCCTATATTGCACTTTGCAGGCTAGAATGTGCAGAAACTACTTTTCATTACTGTTGACTTCAGTGCTTCCAGCCTAAAATTTCTCTATAAGCAATCATCATGATGCAATTTAAAGCGAACATAATAGTGATTCTAGTGGATACCGGTAGGCCCTATGCTGTATGTTTAACCAAACTTATGACTTTTATTAATTGAATAAAAAATCGTTTTCGGTTTTCCTCTGAGTGAGCGTTTTCCCTCGTGCTTGTTTGAAATGCAAGGTATTTATCTAGAATGAAAGAAAGGACGCCATCCCTGTCAAGCGGAATAAATATAATCTGGGCGATAGGACCCAAACCTAAGCATCGGTTGCAAAGCAATCGTGTTATATAATAACTTCGATAAAATGAGATATTTGCATGCAATAGTGTGATATTCCATGATGAAGATCATTCATGTGAACTCCAAACACACCTCTTTGGTATCAGTTCATAGCATTGTGAACCCTAAAAGCTGTTAATATGATTGATTGGACTATATAACAGAGAGATATATGCAGTTCGTCCCTGGTAGGTGGTGCAAACATTGTTAGTCAACGCCGTGGCAGTGTCTTCACAAACAGGGCCACCCCCTGCCGATTTTGCACATATCTTTGTACATGTATATACCTCACTCGTACACGAATCATGTGCTACGCCTTTTTCTGCTCAGGGTTCGGCGTTATTGGCTGGTAATGATACAGCCAGGTTCTGTGGCAAGGCAACACCAGTACGGGGTCCCGTCATCAGACACATTTTTGGAGGTAGCCCCTGGGAGTCAGACACGCCTGGATTCCCTCATTGTTAATCGCTGTACCCTGACGTGACCCGACCCAGTGCTTCGCACAAACAACTAGTCTTTGAAAATTCGTCACAAAAAAGTATTAAAATCCGGTTGTCGTTTTTCTTCAATACGGTACATGTTTGTCTAAGCTCTTACAAAAAGAAACCTTTCAAATGCTATAATGGCCAATGTGACTGTGCACTCCGCGAATGGGATGTTGAATTTGTCATGAGGGGTGTGATTTCAAACATATTAAAAATCACACCCAACTATCGACAAAACTCCTGTCTGTCTGTCTTTAAGAATGCTACCTTGCTATTTTAAATCAAAGTTACTTAATTCATATTGTTTCTGAGTTTGATCTCCAAATGGGAAGTTGTGACGTTTCTGAGTTATATTAAACACCCGTCTCGGTTTGGAATAGGTAATGCAGTCCAGTAAAAATAGGTAAAGTGAATGTATGTACGGTTGATTGCTTATAAACTAACCTCTTGCATTTGGTTCTGAACTTATGTCAAGAGACTTTCCCTGGGAAATTGTGCGATTTCACGGCAGACTGTATAATGATAAAATGCATATACATACATAGCTTCAAATCTGCTACATATTCATAGTCAAGAGTTGCTAGCATTTTTAGTGCGCAACGAGTTATCTGTATTGTCGAACTCAGTTGCGCGTTCTTCTCGTTTTTACTGAGTAAATGACACGCTCAAGCCACTTCATGGCTTTTCATTGATAATCGAATTTTCAGTGGCTTTCTGAGTGGTTTGGAAATCGAATCAAGGCACAGTGAGACGAAACTGTACAAGAATTGAACTGCTCGTTTCCGTGTTCGTGGACATCAGGAAGTCAGTATGCTGCTTTCTATTCTGCTCGCTTCCATGCTAATCTTCGTTGAAGCCGATGGTAAGTGAACTTTTACTACCACAAACTAAGAGGAACGTGAATTTCATTTCCCAACAGCTCCATGAACACCACTGGAACCCGAATTGCCTTAGTTTTCAACTCACTAAGCAGGTCTTCAACTAGACTTAGGAGCAAAAATCCACAAGATGAAGAGAAGCAGCTTGAAAGAGGCTAAGTCCCGGTGTTTTGAAGGTCCTAAGATTTGGATTTCTTTCGGTGTCACTTTTTATGGCCCTCCTGAGGGGTGACACTGCAAAATTGCCTGGGTTGAATTTTACCCCAAGGGAGGGTAAAAACTGCAACTTCCCAATAGCTTAGGTTGTTTCAACCCAACTAGGGTGATTGAAATTATTTTGTGATTTGTTTTAACCAAACAATGGTTAATATCCACTCATTTTGTGGGTGAAAATGAAACAGGAGGACTGAGAAAGTTTCGTATCCCAAAATTGGGATCTAACATAGCTCATATTTGGGTAGTTGAGTTTTCACTCTTCTTCGGGTTGGAATTTAACCTAAGCAATTTTTCAGTGTAGGGGAATTTGGGCGCGCTTTTTAAACGGAGGGACACGAAATGGACCAGGAATGTCTCTTTTTACACATTAATTTTAAAAAAAGATATCCGACTCTCGGGGCACATTCCTCTTTGCTCGCCCCCCCTCGATCCACCCTTTCTCAAAAACAATTTATATTAAGTAAAATACAGTGACGTTGCAAAGGTCAAGTTTGGGCACAAACCAGTCTTGCGCCGTCACCCTATTCAGTAAAGTGTCGATTACAGTTTGTAGAGTTGACTGTGTTTCAAAAAATCCACACAGATCAAAACTGACTTGACAGGCGCAAGCAAAGTGGTTGTGACATTGAATTATTACAACGTAAAACGAAATGAGAACGCTCTTAATAGTTAAGTAACAGTTTCAGGCGTTGTACATGGGTTAATGTTTTCTCTGAATTTGATATTTGACCTAGTAACATTTTCTGTTATTAGAGATATCCATTTAAATGAAAAGCTGTTTCTAATTTGCATCGTCGACCTTTTTTACATTCCTCTTTCTATTTAGTTTTATTACGTCATTTTTCTTCATTTTAATTATTTAAATTTGTATGCTAATTTCTACGTATAATTTTTATTATTTTCATCATTTGTCTTTTTGCTTTTATTCTAAAATTCACATTACGCCAGTTTACTTTCGGTTAAACCTCAGTTTTAATTTTCTCTTTTATTAAACATTAAAAGAAAACCAACTCATGTATAATTTTCCAAAACAGATTAATCGCTTTGAAACCTACGTATAATGCTTCCTAGATGGATGCATGTATTTTCCAAACGGAAGAAGTGGAGTCCCTTCCGTGGCCTGGACATTTTAATGAGAAAGCATGCAATTTCAAGGTTGCAAATTTGAGTCTTCATTTGAAGAGACGGTGAACTGTGGGTCTCAAATCGGTGGCTCGAGCAACTTGATCGTTGGTGGTGTAAAAGGCTCCGGCTCCCTACAATCATATCGACTTAGCATATTTCCACAGCTGACATATAGATATAAATCCTTTTGAACGGTCAAAAAGTGTTTGTGCCCTACGATTCACTGTACATGTACACTGTTCATGTACGTGCATTGTGCATTTGAATGAAAAAATAGTTGTGCATCCAGCCGAAGAGTTACCCAATTAACAACTTGGGCCAGGAGTAAAGCTTCATGTACATTAAATGTAAATAACTAGCCAATTAACGCTGGACAGAATGATGGAATCCATCTCACGGCTTTAAGCATCAGTTGTTTGGTTTTAATGGCGCTTTCAGTTACTCAGGCTATTTGCATTGGTAACGTTTACACGATACGTTTATTCGTTACCTTTACTAGTCAGTATCACATTACCGAGTTAGGAAGAAGGTCCAGTTTTAGAGGCAGGAGGAAACCGGAGTACCCGGAGAAAACCTGCGAGAGCGAGTATGGACTGGAAACCAAATGCAATTAAAGCCTGGGCCGAGCCAGGACTTGAACCCGGGCCTCATTGTTGCAAAGCCGTGAGGAAAGAACCGCTTCGCTAGCCCGCCCCCTCTAACCTTTAGTAAAAACCTTTTCGTTCTTCTATACAATATGGACAATAGTGGCAGGAGAGACGTATAAACCAAATCAGTAACGTCATAATGGTGGTGTCTCTTGTGCCTTCTTAATCCATATGAATAATTCAGCTACCAAACTCGGTTATTGTTATGGTCCTGACAAGTAGATTAGACTTCTCAAACTATTCTCCAAATTTATGTGATCATCTTTATTCAATACTCAACCGCACTACGTAAAACACAATAAAGATGCCACAAAAAACCCGGTCCTTTTAATTAGAGTATTCATGGCAGGCCAAAGAGAAATGACACAGGTTATGAAAATTAGAGGAACACAAACGAATAACACATTTAAAAAGTACATTCAGTTAGTTACAGGTGCATAATCCATGAACGGTTTCTGCAATGGGTGGTGCCCAAATTTATTTGAAGGGAAGGGCAAACTATCGTGCAAACACATTCACCTGTTTTCTAGATTGGTTCATTCCGACTGTTAAAAACAAGGTAAGTGAAGTGGGACGGTCCGTCTATGGCGCAGCAGCTGAGAAAGGGGATGCCTCCTCGACAGGTGATAATGCTGTATAGCCGGCGTCTGAACTAAACTGAAAATCAACGGCTGGCGCGGCCACTTGTTGACTGATAGCCAATGGTGAATTTCGTTTGACTGCACATGTAATTTCGAGGAGGCGTCACAGACGTCTTTGAGCACTTCTCATGACGAAAGTTGCCTTTCAGAATACAAAACTTTTTCGTGTGAATTGCTTTTTCTACTTGAGAAGCAATGAATCTCTTGAATTCCTCCAGTTCAGCCAAAAAATCACTTTTTGTTAATTTCAAATCGAAAAATGGAAAACAACTTGTTTTGGGGTGTTCAAATTTTGTTTCCAAATCGAAAACCGGATGCACAAAACGAACACAGACCGTTTATTCGCCAGGGATTCAAGATAATTTTCAATAGCTCTGACCAACTCCATTTATGCTGCTGGGGAGGAAAATTGCGCCACCTACTTCATCCGTCGCGGGCAAAATTTGGCAACATTTACAAAAGTTGAAATTCTTTACAAATGCGCAGAATCTTGTACACGTGCATGAGCACTCTGTAGACTTGATGTTATCATGAACTATAAAACTGTTTGCCTGTGGTATATGTGATTAAGTAGTTATGCACTATTTGTAATTCTGGATGACTGGTTACTAAGTAAATTGCAAAATGTAAGTAACTGTTTCAGTTACTCTGTAATCATACTGTAGATAAGTTCTCCTATCTGAAGTAGTCCAAACTGTAAAAGGACAGTTACAATTGCCAAAATCATACTTCTAACACATCAGCTGGAAGAGATTTAATTGTTAAATCTATCAAACAAATCATGCTGCTGACATTCCTGTCTGCTGAAAATGACGCATTTCTCTCACAAGATATCGTGACAGGCATTCGCCTCAGCTTATTAGGACGTGGAGAAAAAGTGACATTTATGTAATAAAATCAGCGAAAGAGCACCATTGTTTTGTAGGAAAAACGTTAAAGTCGAAGTGT